AAGCAGCATCACGAAGAGCCTCTTGTGGCGGTGGGAATTGTGCAGCTAGTCATTAGGACCAGTAATAAAAATGAAATAATGCAAAGATGGCCTGATTTTGAGGCTGTCTGAGACTGTTCTATGAGAATTTATGGGCATAGCTCCTTTCGTGTCTGTAAAACGTGAGCTAAAGAGCCTACAAAAACTAATGTAGGTTCATAAAATAGTAGGATAACCAAAATGGTGGAAAAGACTTTAAGACTATTTCATTATCTACCCCCTCATTTCAAAGATGAAGGAGCGGACCTTGGGAAAACTTACTACCCAGTCACGTGGCTACCTAGTGGCAAAGCTGGGGCTAAGATTGGGGTTTCTGAGACCCAGTTCAATGTTCTTTCATTGCAACCTGTTGCCAGTTACACACTTCTTCAGTCAGTGTGTGGTTGTCACTTGTGGAACACCCGTGTGTGGAATAGTTACAAATTCAGGATTTTTCTAATGAAGGTTTAGTTTCATCGATAGTGGTGATGGGTTGGAGGCGTAGTGGGAGCACTGCAGGCCCACCCTACTGCGGCAGTGCTGTATTGGTGTACAGTCTTTGCAGGGCATGAGGGTCAGACGAGGGGGGTTATATGCTGGGGTGTTTGGGCCGTTATAACGTCTGGCTTTCTTCCATCTGAAGCTCAGCCTCCAGGGCCCTGCTGGTTTTGCCTTGCCAGCCCTGAAGTGGAAAAGCATTTGGTGGTCAACATTGGCACACACGTAAGTTACTTGCATGGATCTTCTATGGAGGAGGAGACACCCGTTTGTTTCCTGTGACTTTATCGAGTCAGTATACATATTGTAAAAATCTCCCACTGTAAGTGTACAATTCAGTGGTTCTCGGTGCGCTCACCAAGTTGTACACCCATCAGTTTCAGAACAGGCCTCTCACCCCTGTAAATTCCCACATGTCCTTTTACAGTTACTCCCCATTTCAGCCCCAGGCGACCACTGGTCTCTCTGTTTCCACAGGTGTACCTTGTCTGCACAGTTCATACACGTGGAATCGTAGAATAAGTGATCTTCGTGTCTGGCTTCTTTACGTAATATTCTTGAGGCTCATCCATGGAGCATCTATCAGTATTCCATTCATTTTTACTGTTAAATAATACTCCGTTATGTAGACATATACTACTTTTTGTCTGTATATTTCTCAGTAAGTGGACATTTGGCTTGTTTCCACTTTATGGCCATGAGGGATTACGTGGCCATGAACATTTGCATGTGTGTCTTTGTGTAGACGTTCGAATTCATTTCTTTTGAAGAGAAACCTAGGAGTGGAATTAAGTTTTAATCTTTTAAGAATCTGCCATGCTATTTTCCAAAGCGACTGTAGCACCCTGTATTCACACCAGCAGTGTATAAAAGGGTTCTTGTTTTTCCACCTTCTCACCATTCGTTATTGTCTGTCTTTTTTATTATGGCAATTTAGTGGTTTTGTAGTGCCAGTTTCACAAGGTTGCTCCCCGTCTTCCTCCATGTCTGATAAATAGGTGTGGATCTCCAACAGTGATGCTTTTAGATACTTTTTGAACTCTATATTTTTATTCCATACTACTAAAAAGCAAGAAATTCTCACTGTTGCCTAGTAGTAGAGGATATAGATTCCTAGTAACAGGAACCCCCATATGCACGTTCTGGTGTATCTGGGAACCAAGTGATAATTACAAGGTTGCTTGGTAAGCACTGAATCAGACTATGAGAACTGGGTGATCTTGAGGAGAATCTTACTTAGGCTGTGGACTCTGATGAAGTGTGTGTGTCCCACAGTGAAGTCATTCTATTCCAGATTTCCCCAGGTGCTCCTTGAGCAGACTTCAGTTTGGTATGGAATAATGCTAGTCTTTGACCTGCATTCCACTGGGATCCATAAAGACTTAGATCCCTTTTCATTCGCTTACAATGAAAAAAGTTTGGTTTTCAGGGTTACAGTTACACCCTGTAACTGTACGGCTAGAATTAGCTGTTTGCTGAGGCTCCCAAGGCGCATATTTCCAACCATTTTTCAGTGTGTGGTGCTTCGGCAGACAGATTCTTTAATCTGTTTTTCATTGATTTATTTTAATTTTGGTTTCTGAGTATGACCTTTTCCTCAATTTACCCTGACAATCTGAGGGTCCTTTATTGTGTATGGCCTTCTGTATATATACTGACCAACTAGAATCTCAGTTTTATCTCACACTTTAGGTCACATCCCTTTCCTGCCTTTGTTATTTGAGATTGAATAACCCCAGTCTTTTACAGTTAATTTTTATGTTATTATTGGCACACTAATATCTCTTGGGGGAGCGCTGATGGGCCGACACAGTTGGACCACAGAGCTTGTGGATGAACTCCTCAGTGAGAAGAGCAAACCTGAAAAGCTCTTGCTTTTGTAGGAATGCCCTTTGTTGATTGTCTCTTTTGGTCATTGTTTTCCTCTTTGAATTAGTTTATGCCATTCTTCTCTTCCTCACACATGGAATGGTAAAGCAGGCTTGAGACTGCCTTCTCTTTCAGATGCTTCATTAGGTTCAAAATGCCATGCAGGGTAAAAGAGGTGCTGCTTTAGGTCTCAGGGAGAAATGACCTTTCTCTTCCAGTCACCTTTCTGTCTCCCAGGTGTGAGCCTAGGGGATAATAGAGGAAACCTGTTTGTTTCTTATCTAGTCCTGGAGCTAGAGGGGCAGAGAGCATCCTAAGTTTTGATTGTGGCCCAGCCCAGCACCCCAAGTAGGAGGCCACACAAGGATTTTAGCACCTGCCCAGTAATTGGGTCTGCACTTCCCTACACTGTCCTTTGTCTGGGGGAAACCTGTTGGGAACCTCTGTGTGATCTTTGATGTCGGTCAGAGGACTTGGAGTTCCCTCTCTACATCCATTCCTCTTCATCTCCTTTCATTACTTTCCCCCTCTGGCTTTCCTCAAGGGACTCACATAGAACTGTCAATGGCCTGTGGTCACAAATGGGTAAAAGGAGAGGAAGGCTGCTAAGAGTCCTAAGTAACTTCTTCAGAGTCCATACATTTTACTATGGTGGGAGCATTCATTCAGGGCCTGTTCATACATTTGAGAGACAATTAGAGAGAATTTAAGTACAGAACAGATTAGGTGAGAGTTTGAAAGGGAAGAAGGGATTGCTAGTTAGTCTAGACCAGAAAGCTTCAGTTACCTTAATGCACATCATAAACACGGCTGTTGATGGCGGCGACCCTTTGACATAAAAGAAAAGTCTAGAAGACTTTTAAAGGCTTCTAGAGTAAGCTTTTAAAAGAAGCAATCAAAGATGGTTATTGTAAGAATTAGGAAAATGCTTTAGTGCTTATGAGTTTAGTCATCTGGAAAACTTTGCAGATGTGCTCAGTCCTTTCTGCCAAGCAGGGCAAGGGCACGCCTGCTTTCGTTTGTTCCACTCTCTGTGCTGTTTTTCAGTGTAAACAAAAAAGTCAATGACTCTTTCCTTCAGCCTCAACTTGGAACCCACCAGGCTAATAGTATACTTTGGGTTGTTCTTTTGGAAGCTCTGGTACCTTCATTGGCCCGCATTGGTATACATCAGCTTTTCTCTACTCAGCCTGTTTTTTCCTTCAAAGAATGTCTGATGGTAGAGCAGTCTTACATGTTTTGGTTTTGACAGAAATGTTTTTAGTTGCTATTTAGCTGCCACCATCCACTGTTGGAACCATAATTTTCTACCTTACTGGGTATACTTGAGCTTGAGGGTTCTCTTTCTTCTGTCCACCCCATTCGGTGGTATGTTTGCTTTCACTTTGTAGAGGTTAGTCAGCAGGTTGAGGCATAGGGACACTGTATGCCAATCATGCCACCTTAGGGTTTTTTTGTTAGTTGGGGATGTATTTGGGGTTAGATTGGATGTTATTGTAGGGAGAGTGGTCATTTCGAAATCAGAAGTGGTATCTTTCGGTGGCTGACGTGATAGTAACTGAAGAATTGTTTTCAAGTTCAGAGCCTGTGTGTTGTCCTGGTCCCTTTCAGCTCTGGCGCTTGAAGCCAAAAGGCTATTTTTGTGGTGCTCGTTTGCTCCCAAATCATTTGATGCTCACAGAGAAATTTGTTGCATCTAATCTCATTCTTCAGTAAGTACTTGAGAACATTGTTGTGGTGATCTTTAAATCAGATTTTTAAAAGTTGGAGAATTTCTATCAATAGGCTCTTGAGCTCTTTTCCACTCCCCCTCTTCCTAGCCTGTTCTTTGTATAAGCTTCTCTCCTTGAAGGATCATACATGCAGTATTGATGTTTTGCTGCTGTGTGCTCCATCTTCAGTGCTACCTTGCCCTGGCCAAAGGAGGCCTGTCTGACGACCATGTCCTCATCCTGCCCATTGGACACTACCAGTCAGTGGTGGACCTTTCAGCAGAGGTGGTGGAAGAGGTGGAGAAATACAAAGCTACACTGAGGAGGTTCTTTAAGAGCCGAGGGAAACGGTGTATTCTATTTGAGAGAAATTATAAGAGCCATCACCTCCAGCTCCAGGTAGGTGGTCTCTGCCCAAGAACTTGGAAAGGGCCCTAGGGGGGCCTAGATATTGATAAATATTTAAATAATGTTAATTTCAGTAGTTAATTTGATTAATATTTAATTGATTCAATAAAAAACTAAATATTTCATTTTTAAAACATTTTATTGTTCAGTTATAGTTGTCTGCACTTACCCCCCCACCACTCTCCAAAAAAATAAATATTTTATATTTTAACATGAATTTCCACATTAGTATTTAAATAATATTCATTTAAAAGGTTAGAGTCTAGTGGTAACTCCAGAGATTTTACAGGAACATGCATTGTCAGTATACGTGAACTGCGCATACAGTAAGAGCCTTGTTTTAGAAAAGGAATGGGTAGTCGAAAGGGTTCCAAGAGAGATTTAGGCCTTGATAGGTAGAGATTGGAAGAGATTGGGTATTCTGTGTGAAGCCCAGCGTCAGTGAATGGGGCTAGCAGCTCAGCTATTTGGAGATTGTTATGGTTAATTTGGTGTAACTGTGGTGGGGTTTTTTTTGGCACATTTGTTAAGTTTTCAAATGGGCCCGACTCTGCCACAGACATTATACAGGAGTCAGCAAAGGCTTGATGACAAAGAGACCGCTCTCTGGCCTTTCTGGGGTGTGGAAGTTGGCTCCCACATGTGGCAGGCTGTCTCATAAGTTTAAGTCCTTACAGACAGGCTGGTGGGGCCTGTCCGGCCTGAGGAGAGTCTCTGCTGAGGGGTATTTCTCCACCCCTGTGATGGATTTGCTTCTTCTCAAGAACTATGGGAGGCAGGACCTCTCTGGGAGGTGCATGAGGAATTTCTCTCGTCTCCCCCACCCCCACCCCAGGTCATTCCGGTGCCACTCAGCCGCTGTGCCACTGATGACATTAAAGATGCCTTCATTACCCAGGCACAGGAGCAACAGATAGAACTTCTGGAAATCCCAGAGCACTCTGACATCAAGCAGGTAAAACAGGAGGGCAAGGGGATGTTGAGGGAGAAGTGAAAACCTGGTTTCTGACCCGTGAGCCTGAGGTACTGTCAAGACATTCCCAAAATGTTGAATAGAGAGGTAACAGTTCAGAACAAGAGCTTGGAGTATTGATTAGACTGGAGACAAAGATGGTGTTATATCAGTGCCTCAGTGCTCTCCAGGGAAGTGCAAGAAATTAGACACTTCCTGAGGCAGGAACTTAGAAGGACGGGTGCCACTGGGAGGACCTTTGTAGCACCTGCCAGTTTGGCTCCTTAAACTCTAGTTCCCCTGAGTGGCTTGGGGCCTACAGCTGCTTACGTTCTCTGTGCTTCTAGACTGAATTCTTTGCCAAATTGAAGCTTTTAAGAGATGAGCTAGGATTTTAGGTTTTTAAAGCACTTATTGTGTGTCCTCATGTAGCTCTGTTTACTTTAGATCGCACAGCCAGGAGCAGCATATTTTTATGTTGAACTTGACACAGGAGAGAAGCTTTTCCACAGAATTAAAAAGAATTTTCCTTTGCAGTTTGGAAGGTTTGTATAGTTTTCTTATTTTGTTTTTATTAATTATTATTACTTATCTTCACCCAAGGACATGATTATTGATTTTAGAGAGGCGGGAAAGGAGGGAGAGGGGAAAGAAACGAAATTGTAGGAGAGAAACATTGATCGGTTGCCTCTGGTACGTGCCCACCCTGACAGGGGACCAAACCCACAACCTGGGCATGTGCCCTGACCTGGAATCCAGCCTGCGACCTTTCGATTTACAGGATGCTGCTCCAACCAACTGAGTCACACTGGCCATGGTGTAGTTTTCTTATTTTAAATATATTTTTAGTAGGCTGTCTCTGAACAAAATAGTGGACTGAATGGACAATTTTTATATTAAAAATTAATATAAAGTAGTGGCAGTTAAAAGCTAGCTGGTATATGTATCAGTATGTAGCTTTTGTTTTTGTTTCTCTTTTTATTTTTTGATACTGAGCCTGTGCTGTTGTGCCCATGTACCCCTGAATTCCCTAAAAGTAGAGGCAGAAAGTCAGAGTGGATTGTGGTACTAGATGCCTGACTCTGCCCCAGAGAAGCAACAGTCTTAGGGCAAGTCAGATATTTACATATATGACAGTAATGTGAAAAGTACCTTAACAGAATTTTGAGGAAGAGTGTATTTTGGAAATGCAGAGAAGGAAGAGCCCGTGTCGGATAGGTGAAAGGCTTCAGGTTGAGCCCAAGAGAGAGTCAGAGGACAAACATTGGACTGTCCGAGTTGTATCCTTGAGAATGGAGGGCTGCCCTTAAATACGCAGATGTTCTGTGTCTGGCACTGTGCCAAGAACTTTATATGCATTGCCTCATCCAATCCTTCAGCTCTGTAAGGTAGGCACTGTCATCTCAATTTACCAGTATGGAAAATGAGGCTTTAGAACAGTACCCAGCGGAACTTTCCCCGGTGATGGAAATGCTCTATAAATCTGCACTGTCCTGTGCAGTAATCACTAGCCACAAGAGGCCATTAAGCACTTGAAATGTGGCTAATGTGAGTGAGAAACTGAATTTTTAATTTAAATTAATGTGGGTTAAAATGTAAACATCTGTATATGAGTACTGGCTCCTAGAGCATGGCTTGAGAACAGTTAGGTAGTTTGTCCATGGTCACACAGCAGTAGGTTCAAATCCAGGACTGTCTGTACTGTCCTAAAGTTTTAGATGAGTATTCATTTCTTCTCCTATCAGGCAGAACATAACAGCAGCACCATACAGGGGGTGGTATGAACTAGGCAAAGACTGAAGACAGGAATTTGCTGACCAGAAGAGATTGAGTATTGAGGGAAATTAAAAATCTAGAGAAAGGACTTCCACCAAGATGGAGGTATAGGCGGAAACATTGTGCCTTCTCGCACAACCAAGTTTAAAAACAACAAAGTTTTAGCAACAAAAACGCAGCCAAACCACAGAAAATTGAACTACACAGAAGTCTGACAACAATGAACCGTTCAGCCAGACCAGTAAGAGAGGGGGAGCCAGCAGTGGAGCAGGGTCGGGCAGGAAGGATTCCCCGGACCAGGCGAGCAGGCGAGCAGGTTCCCAGGCGTGGGGTAACAACGGACAGATTCAGTGAAGGCGCAAGGTGGCAGGCTGACCGCAGTCACACATCCGTGTGCAGATAAATCAGCGAAGGAGCGAACAGTGAGACAGACTGCGCAGGCCCCAGCAACGGGAAGCAGCAGAGGGGACTGATATTGCTCCCTCTCTGACCCCGCCCCCACATACAGCATCACAACCCAGCGACCTGGGTGGCCCTGCCCTGGTGAACACTTAAGGCTCCCCTCATACGTAACAGGCACGAACAGAGCAAAACATGGCTCAAAAAGAGCTCAAAGCCCCAGAGCCGATAATTTTAAGCGACCAAGAAATAGCCAACCTATCAGATGCACAGTTCAAAACACTGGTGATCAGGATGCTCACAGAACTGGTTGATTTTAGTCACATATTGGAACAAATGAAGGCTAAACTAATCGAAATGAAGGGAAATGCACAGGAAACCAATAGTGATGGAAAGGAAACTGGGAATCAAATCAAGGGAGCGGACCAGAAGGAAGGAAAAAATGACCAAACAGAAAAATATGAAGAAACAAGAATTCAAAAAAATGGGAGGCTTAGGAACCTCCAGGACATCTTTAAATGTTCCAACATCCGAATTATAGGGGTACCAGAAGGGGAAGAAAAAGAGCAAGTGGGAAACTTATTTGAACATATAATAAAGGAGAACTTCCCCAATCTGGCAAAGGCAATAGACTTCCAGGAAATCCAGGAAGCTCAGAGAGTCCCAAAGAACTTGGACCCAAGAAGGAACACACCAAGGCACATCATCATTACATTAGCCAAGATTAAAATGAAGGAGAGAATCCTAGAAGCAGCAAGAGATAAGGGGACAGTCACCTACAAAGGAGTTCCCATCAGACTGTCAGCGGATTTCTCAAAAGAGACCTTACAGGCAAGAAGAGGCTGGAAAGAAGTATTCCAAGTCATGAAATCCAAAGACCTACATTTAAGATTACTCTATCCAGCAAAGCTTTTATTTAGAATGGAAGGGCAGATAAAGTGCTTCTCAGATAAGATCAAATTAAAGGAGTTCATCACCACCGAGCCCTTATTATGTGAAATGTTGAAGGGACTTACCAAAGAAAAAGAAGATAAAAAAGGACAGCAAACTCACAGTTATTAAGAACCACACCTAAAAAACAAACTAAAAGGACAGCTAGATCAGGAGCGGAACCATAGAAATGGAGATCACATGGAAGGTTAGCAACAGGGGAGTGGGTTGAGGAGAAGGGGAAGAAGGTACAGAAAATAAGTAGCATAGATGGTAGGTAGAAAATAGATAGGGGGGAGGGCAAGAATAGTAGGGGAAATATAGAATCTAAAGAACTTGAGACATGTCATAAACTAAAGGGAATGGTGGGGGAGGGGTGTGCAGGGTGGAGGGGAATGAAGGGGGAATAGAACAACTGTAATGGCATAATCAAAATATATTTTAAAAAATAAAATAAAAACTAAAAACAAAATCTGGAGAGAGATTATCTGATGCTGGTATCTGTGATTTGCAGCTGTTTTTTCACCCTAGTTAGAACTGAGCTTTGAGTCAACCTTGAGCCCTTTTCTTGGTCTAATTTGGAAAGCCTCCAAGAGATTGCCACCATTGGATAAGTCCAGTAGATGTAGTTGTCTACATTTTCAGAAAGATAATTGACAAGTGAACAACTGTATTGAGAGCTTCAAACATTTGACATTATCTTTGCTATTGCCTCAGCAACGGATGCACCTTTGGACACTGATGATAGGCACATGGTGACAGATACACACAGGCACATGCCTGCCAGAGAGATTCTCTGATACTATGCTCATGATGGCTGAGTGTTTTTTTAAAATGTGCTAACTTACAGTTATAGAGCATTTTATAGTTAACAAAATACACGAAAAGACTTTTTCCCTCCCTGCTGTACTGTACAAGAAAGGTAGTTCTGTCTTCATTTTATAGGCAAAGAAGTACGTTCAAGCCTTGCCCAGGCAGCTAGAAATTACACTCAGGTCCTATGACTTTGGAAAACTCATGTGATTTGTTTTCAACTCTTCTATTCATTGTAGCTTTAAAGTGGGAAATGATCCACACAGGTGCGCAAACAGTTACATCTAATATAGCAAAATAAGTAAAAATTAATATAAAATAGTGGCAATTAAAAGCTAGCTGGTATATGTATCAGTATGTAGCTTTTTGTTTTTGTTTCTCTTTTCATTTCTTGATACTGAGCCTGTGCTGTTGTGCCCATGTGCCCTGAATTCCCTAAATGTAGAGGCAGAAAGTCAGAGTGGACTGTGGTACTAGATGCCTGACTCTGCCCCATGCCCTTAGCCGACTCATGGTCTAATTGGGGTGACAGAACTGGAGTTAAGGCAGGATGTCATCACAGCTAGTTGGTGCTTTGTGTTATCTGCATATCACACAAAACTGTTCTTTTGTATTTCATAAGCAAGACTCAGGTGTTCAAGTTGTAGACAGCAAGTAGCAGAGCTAGGAATGGAATCATCTTCAATTTTTCTGGCCCAGGGGCCTGTCCTCATTCTCCTGTGCCATGTTGCTTCTCTAAGTACCAATAAATGTAGTTTCAGGTTGTTCAGAGAA